TTTCTTTTCTCTTCATCGCTCCTGCTTTTCTCTATTTAATATTTTATTTCTCTTTTTTCTTTCTTTCTTTTTCTCTCTTTTTCTCATTTTCTTTGTTTTCTCTCTCTCATTTCCTTTTCTTTTTCTCTCCTTTCTCTCCTTTCTTTCTGTTCCTTCTTTTCCTCCCCTCCTCCCTCCGGCTCGGCCGCCTCCCCCGCTCCCCCCCTCTCGCAGACGCTACTGCGGAGCGGGGCGCGGGGCCCGCACGGGGCGCCGAGCAGCGGCCGCGGAGCCCGCAGGGTAGGGGGGGAGCGGGGCCGGGAGCGGGGCCGGGGCCGGAGCCGGGACCGGGAGCGGGACTGGGAGCGGGGCCGGGGCCGTTCAGCACCGCGGGCAGCTCCGCGGCTCCGCAGTGCGGGGCGGCCCGGGGCGGGTCGGGCTCGCGGGCCCCGTGCGGGCTCCCCGCGGACACGGGAAGGTCGCAGCGGCTGCGGCAGCTCCGCRCCCTGCGGAGCCCGCGCCCTCGTGCAGCCCCCGCAGGGCTGGAGCCCGCGGCGGGGCAGCCCCAAATAGCCCCGGCACCCGCCGCCCGGGCTCCTCTGCCGCCCTTCCCCGTCCCATCGGATCTGGTGCTTGGTGCAGTGCTCCAAAAACCCTGTCCTCTTTCGGAACCTTGCTAACCACGCGGGTTGCGCGGAACGGGGTGCGCTGCACTGCAGTGCCGAGCTGACACCCAGGCTTGGGACTGCTCTTGCGGTATCGCTGCTGCGCAGGCGATTGATCAGTAAACTGCACAGAAAAGAAATAATACGAACTGCTGGTGCTAGAAAAAGCCCCGCGCCTGCTTCCCCACAAAGAGAAGCAATGCGGAGGCAGGGAGGGAGGTTTAACTCCTCCATCGGGAAGGTGCAGGGTGCGTGGCCGCCCGCGCAGCAGCCTGCGCGGCTGCAGGGAGGTGACGGTCTCACGGGCAAAGCCCTTTCCCCAAACTGCCTCCTTGCCTTGAAACCGGGACACCCACGACTCCCGAGTCCGCGGCTGCTCTGTGGGGGCAGCGAGGGGGGGGCTGAGGGACGGGGTTAAACTTTGCAACCACACGGAGCTCCACGGGCTCATTAATATGATGCTGTCATAGGACTGCAGCACTGCAGTCTGTGCCGGAGAGAAGTCAGAATTATCCAAGGTACCTCCTGAGATGTATTTGCAAACACGGGCTGCTAGATGCATTGTTAAACCCCTCCGGAGTTTAATACGACAAGTCCCGAGAAAAGGTTTCATTATAATTGGGGCAATTATGGATTCTAAACATGTTCTATTAATTTTGGCAAAAGTTTTCTCTGCAGCAGAAAAACATTCATCTGGATTTAAATATCTATTATGGCATTGTATTTTGTTTCTTTTAAGGGAAAAAGTTACAGTATGATCTGGTTTATTACAGTTTCTTCCTTGTTAAGCAATGACTGGGGAGGAGAGAACAGAAAACATGTTTTTATACATTTGGAAAACTTACTGTAAAAGAAAACATATGGTTAACAGAGGTGCTTGAGAAATTTTATTATCCCCTTAGTGTTCTGAAAACAAGATGGTGTTGAAAAGCACATAAGAAGGGATTTATTTAACTTTGTAATAAAATTCCTTCTTATTAAATGCATTGATGCAAAGATTGTGTTAAATCCATTTATCCAATATGCAAAACATACAGTTGCTTTATAATCAAGCAGTGATAGGATTTCACTTATTCTTTTTTCTTCTTCATTCAAATTTAAATGCAAGCAATGCAAACCTTGTCAGTATACAATCATTTTCATAATACATATTGAYTACCTTAGAAATGAAGGATGTATTGGAAAAAGTTTGCACTCCCCCAGACATTCACAAGCACCTGCAGAAATCTTTCTGAGGTAAAATCCAGTGTTTTTATTTAAAACTCATTCTGGAAACAGTCAGTTCTGATCTGTAATGAGATGTAGGTGGAGGGTGCTCGTGTTGCATTAGCTTCAAGGTGATCTCAAGGTTACAGTGAGTCAGGGAAATCAGTCACAAATGTTGCCTTCTTTCTGTTGAGCAGCGAATTCCCTTTGTATCAATAAGCACGATGGAGGTTTGGGAATTAAGGTCAGAATTTCTGCTTAGAGAGAAGTTTTCACCTCGGAGTTGAACAGAGAGGCTCTGCGGGCGGGGAGCGAGGTCTCCTGCTCCGAGGCAGGAGGGAGGAACCAGAGCTTCTCTCTGGGAAACAAGCAGCCTTCATCTTAATCCTCATCATCCTCTAGCGACAACCCCGCATTAAAGAAATGCTATAGGCGGGTRACGCCTATAGCGGCTTCCTTAAAGGAAAGAGGTGGGGGGCAAAACACCGGAGATGGCATTGGCAGCCTGACTGCTTCCTTAGAAAGGAGTTTTAAAGCACTAAATAATGATGAATTACCTTGAGAATGCTCCCTCGGTTGGGTAGAGGAAAAGAGGTTGCGTTTTGTTTTGTGGTTATGAGAGAACAGCAGAGTGAAAAGGCCTGGACAGATAATGCAGTGCAGTTACTTGGGACTATGCAAATTGTTAACCACTTAAAGGCCTTTCTCTCAGAAAGCACCTGCCTACTTTCAGTATAAGCCTGATGTAAAGGGAAAAGTTATAAGCAAAATTCGTGCAAGGAGGGGAAACTCCAGCTGCAGAAGAATTTTGTCAGAGTTAGAGGAATCCGCTCTRCTATCCAGCACCGCAGAGGGGGGTGAAGTGCCATAACTCCCTAAGTCAGTGAAGTGACACTGATTTTTATTAGCTGAACATATTGATGTGCCAGCATCTTATTTGGTGACTCTCAGATTGTCACCAATAGTGGTCTGGATGATGAGGAGCCCGARGGGGTCTCCTGCCAGAGGAGCAGGGACGTTTCGCTCCAGCTGAGGGTATGTCCTTATAGTATTTACAGTGCCAGCTTTGAAAGAAAATGCTCAAGAGTTTCACATTMGGGGCCTAGTCTTAGGGGGTGCTGGATGCTTCCTGAAACAGGCATTAGGAGCTTGAATCCTGCTGAAGGCTGGAGTGATCAGCAGCCAGCGGGCTCTGCGCTCCGCAAGTGCCGGGCATGAGTAAGCAGCGCCATGCCGAGCCGGAGAGCAGCAACTCCTCCTCTCCTCTCCTCTCCTCTCCTCTCCTCTCCTCTCCTCTCCTCTCCTCTCCTCTCCTCTCCTCTCCTCTCCTCTCCATCATGCTTTGAAAAATCTCTATGCTCATTTTCATCTTTTCTGAAAAATATCAATGTGCATTTTTCGTCTATTCTGAACTATAGCAGAATAACATTTCCCTAGAATAATCCTAGGGAATAAACCTTTTCTTTTTTTGTTATTCTCATTCAGCTAGAGATTGTGTTTTAGAACTTTAAATCAGACATTTCCAGACAATTGCATTGTTTTCTGTTTGTAGAAATGCTTTGTGCTGCCTTTATGAACTGCTCTTTATAAAAGCAAAGGAGAGAAGTTGTCTTTGTCACCTCGAAGCTTCTACGCTCTGCTCRGTTTTATGGGTCAGTGGTGATTTATCCTACATGTACCGTCTGATGGCTCAAACTGAACTTGAAAGTTGGCGCACAGAAAATAGCACAGATTGGGGTAGCAATCTTCTAGTGATGAAGTGATCAAAAATAGCTCTTCCCACCTAGCTCTGAGAGGCTTTTCCTGAACCTTCCCTTTCTATAAATAGAGCTTTGAAGAGGCTTCCTTGCCGGCCCTGGCTCCTGGAGGGCAGCACATCACAGGGCGACACGGAGCGCTTCCCGGAGCGCCGCTGCCCGGGAAGGGCGACAGGAATCGTTGGAGGCCGGACACAAACAGAGGCYGCGTCGCGGGCAGCCTCGGGCAGCAGCTTCCACCACGGGGCAGGAGTGCTTAAATCTGGATGCTCCTTTCTGAAATAAAAGGCCCAACATGAGGAAACACATTCTCCCCGCTAGTCTAATTGGTATCTAGGCTAATTGCTCTCCCGGTGGATGTTTTTAATTGAATTGCACAGGGAAAGCCAAAGAAAGTTTGCAGCTCTGTGATGACGCCACATGACTACAATGACTCCTTGCTTTATTTTGCTTTAGTTTGTGCTAAAGGTGGGGTCTGTCTTTAGAGGCTGCCGACACCTCCAAGGAATCAGTTGGAATTTAGATGCTGTGTGTTTCTTTCCACGCGCCTCCAGTGAGTGCTGAACACAACCAAGGAGGGCCTGTTAAAGCAGGCTCATTGCGCTGGATGGGGTTTTATGGGTGAAAATGTCAGGATCTGAATGATGTTGCTGCTTTGGCCGAGGAGCCCGTGGAGCCCGTGGGCTGTGGGACGGTGCCACGGCTCCTCCTGGCACCCGCGTCAGCTCCCTGCCCCGAGCAGAGGCCAGCCTCAGATACTCCCCCAAATACACCCCAAATACACACCGAATACACCCCAAATATTGCRGGCTCTGCAAATGTAAAGCCACACGAGGGCACATGCAGGTGGCACCATGCAGCAGCCGGACACGCGCTGCCTAAAATGCAACTGCGGAGGTTGCATTTTACTACGTCGCCTGCCAAAACAGCCTTAATACACCCACCCCAAAGCCCTAAAAGCAGTTTGATGATGYTTTTATGATGAAAATGCACATGGTGGATACCAAGTTCATGGCCACAGTTTGAATTGGATAAATAATCGT